AAAAAAAGAAAAGAAAAAGAAAATTCAAGGAAAGCTGAACAGCGATTTACAGCATTTGGATAAGCATTTGCTATAACTGCAAGAGCAGGGATTTAATATCTGTGATCAAGTGATGGAAAATTTCCTACTTGTCTGCTAATACAGAGAACTTTGAGATGAAAATTTTGCTCTTCAAAACATATTTTAGATATAGGAAGAACCAGCCTATTTTTCTTAAAGGTTATCCTGCTAACAAACTTCTTAATTTAAGAGTACTGATACATTGTCTTCCTTAACTTAACAGGTAAAATTCAAGAAATCTAGGAGTTAAGCTCAAATAGCTAAGTATTCTGAAATCTGAAAAATGTAACCAACCATTCTTAAGCCTGAATAAATTGAATAAAACTTATAAAATTGGTACTCAACTCAGTAACATGGCATTTTACTTTTCTAATGGAAAGTTTTAAAACCTAAAGTTTAAAAAAGTGTCTGGCTTTCTCTTCGCCATAACATTTCTAGTATTTGATCTAAATCTAATGGAGCCTTTGATTTCAAAGTGAATCATGTATGGATTAGCACTATGCCATTGATTGTAATAAGTCTTAAAATACTGACTAGCTGTTTGCAAGGCGTTATCCATAATGAATTTTCCAACAACTAGGGAAGAATGCTTTCAATTTTGAATTCATCAACAAAGACCAATACAAAATACTTTTTCATTAATAACCAATATTTTCTTTTCTTAAAACAGGATAAAGGCTGTGGGAAAATAATAGGCAATTTTTTATTGATGATTATTTGGTATTAAGTATTTCTCTTCAGAAATGAGGATACTTTTCCATTCTATTTTCAATTAACATTTTCTCTATTCCTAGCATGGAAAATGAGTTGAACTTTCTTATTCGATAATGTCTTCCCCAAACACAGCTGCTGTTACTTACCGAATCAGTAAAAACTTGCTATTTTAACAAGATCAATAAGTTGGTAGAAGAATCAATTCTAATCTCTAAATATGAAATATTTACTTAAAATCCTATCAATTTAAAATGATGATTAAGGTATAACAGAATCATCTGGATTAATACTAATATCCTACATGTCCTGGTAGGGTTTGGATTCAGTGTATGCATTTGTGAAAACTAATCAGATATGATTTGTGCATCTCACTGGATATCAATTTAACCAAAAAAGAAAAAAATTAACTGCAAAAAATTATGAAATCCTTCTTAATGAAGTGTACTAAGTACTTAAGGTGATATGTGCTAATGTTTGCAAATTATTTGTATCAAAAATGTATGAAGAGGCCGGGCATGGTGGCTCATGCCTGTAATCCTAGCACTATGGGAGGCTGAGGTGGGAGGATGGCTCAAGGTCAGGAGTTCGAAATCAGCCTGAGCAAGAGCGAGACCCCGTCTCTACTAAAAATAGAAATAAATTAATTGGACAACTAAAAATATATAGAAAAAAATTAGCCGGGCATGGTGGCGCATGCCTGTAGTCCCAGCTACTCCGGAGGCTGAGGCAGGAGGATCGCTTTAGCCCAAGAGTTTGAGGTTGCTGTGAGCTAGGCTGATGCCACGTCACGGCACTCTACCCAGGGCAACAGAATAAGACTCTGTCTAAAAAAAAAAAATTTTTTTAATTAAATTAAATTAAAAAGTATGAAGAAAGATAAATTGATGGATGGATGAAAAATGCCATGGTGAAGGGCATTTATTGAAACCTTAAATTTGTACCCCCATAATATGCCAATATATATATATATATATATATATATGAAAAAAATAGTATAGCCAATTATAATTGGCAGAATTTGGGAAGTAGATATTCAATATTCACTGTAAAATTTTTTAACATTTTTGACAATTACTTTTAAACTTTTAAATTACAATTAAATAAGAATTGCTTATCTATATATATACCTAAAGAAGCCTGTTTTATTTTTAAAGATTACTTTTACAGATTTAAAGAGTATGTGGTTAAGCAGATCAAATTATTTAGCCATTCTGAGACTATATTTTGCATGCTTAATTATTAAAAAATATTTTCTCAGGGAAGATAATAAACAAATGAGACCTTTTGCATTTCAATCTCTATGTGTGGCTTTTACTGTGTAGATTAAAACTGAGTTAGCATTTTGGTTTCTTGCCCTTCTGCTGACCCCAATTTTCAGAGGTTTAGAAATTGGCTGCAAAATTGGCTTTGGTGCTGAAACTTGGCACCAAGACCTAAAACCCAAGACCAAGTCGTCATTTTCAGTTTATTTTTAAGCCTACTGGCAAGAAGTCACAACATTCATTTTTTTTGCCTAAGACTATAATGCCAGGGGATGTCAGGACGCAATGTCCCTCTGGCGATCTGTGACGAATATCTGCAAACATGTGCAGTTAGATTATCATAGCCTAAGGAGCCCAAAGATGTTAAAGAAGGAACTCAGAAATAATTGATACAGTAAGGAAAATTTAATGTTTAGGTGTGAAATATTATTCTGCTTTATTCTTATGTAATTTTCTATGGATGTATGAATTTTCTAGCCAAGGGCTCAAAATGTCAATACATTGGTTTACTATTTCATGATATTTCTGAGTGAACATTTTAAAAGAGGAAATATTGTAATGATAATCATTTGTGGAGAAGATTTCTTTTTTTTCCCCCACTCTTTTCGTTTTTCTATTTTTCTTTATTTGATGTTTTTGCTACTTTTTGTCCACTGGCACTAACACTACTATTCATTTCAAGGAAGTCTTTCACTTGATCATGGTTCTTATCTTGAATTCATTCATTTTCTGGTTTCTCACCTTTTTTCATATTCGTTTGATTAACACTTTATATTTCTTAATATTAACTTTGTATATTACATCTCAACATACATCTCAAAAGCTCTGGAAAAGTGGATTAAAATGCTTTTGTCTTTGGTAACAGATACTTATTAAGGATCTTGTGCCAGTTCTCGTACAGGAAACAAAATATCAAGCCAAAAATAGCTCCTTTCCCCTAAAAATTTACCCAGAACAATAAAACAAAGTAAAGCTAAAAGCTAGAGACTAAACAATAAAAAAATGAGTTTGAAGGGCATATTTATTCAATAAATATCAAATTAGCGCTTCTGAATAGCCAGTCCTGCATAAAGTGCTTTGCATAGAAATACCGAAATAAAGAAGGTATTGTTTCTATATCTGAAGAACCAATAAACATGCTGTGAAAATTGAATAAACAAGTCTCTGGACTCAAACACTGTACTTGAGTTGAGATACACACTTGGAAGTCATTAGCGAGCAGATTAAATCCACAAGTTTGTCTAATAAAAATCTGTAGAATGATGAGAAGTGAAACTTTGGAATACGCGAGAGCCATGAATGGCGCAGAGAAGTGAAGACAAAGATAGGAAAAAGACCAGTGAAATACTGCTAAATACTGTTTAAGACTGACAACTACTAGATTGATTAAGCACTTATTATATATCTGACAAGAAGAACTTTATATGCATCATCTTGTTTAATATTAAAACAATCTCATGAAGTAGGCACTGTTATCCCGTCCATTTTACAGACAGAGCAACTGAGGCTTACTAAGTATGAATAACTTTCCCAAGGTCACGAGTTAGTATTTAGTGGAACAAGGAGGACTCAGTGACGCCTACGCTAACTTCAGAACAATAGTGCTGGGTGTTATAATGATGTCACCTTGGAATGGACTGAAAAGTGGCCATTGAACTTGACAGAAAGAGGAAATAGGTAAGTTGGCACAGTTTCTGCAGCATAAGGAGAACATAAACCAAAGAGTGCGAAGACACAGCATATGGGGTAAAGAAAGTATCCCATGGTCATAATGAACCACAGTAAGGTCCTAATTCACTGTAACAGTGAAGAGAATGCCACTTCCTATCATTTAAATACTCTCTAAAGTTTCTGAAAAATGATAAATGAAAAATACAACTTCTGAATTCAACAGGGTTAATTCTTCAAGCTGGGTTAGTCTTGGATAATCTAGTAGGTGACAATAGAACATTAGTTGTTTCTTTCTTTCTTTCTTTTTTTTTTTTTTTTTTTTTTTCAGGGTCTCTTTGTTTCTTTCTTTCTTTCTTTTTTTTTTTTTTTTTTTTTAAACAGGGTCTAGCTCTGTCACCCAGGCTAGAGTGCAATGGCATCATCATAGCTCACAGCAACCTCCAACTCCTGGGCTCAATTGATCCTCCTGCCTCAGCCTCCTAAAGTGCTGGGATTACAGGCATGAACCACTGTACCCAGCTGAAAATTTGTGTTTCTATTTACATGTTATTTCATTTGATTAGCCCAAAGTTTACCCTTTCTCACATCTCCTGTCTTCTATTAGATTTTTATACCAACTAGTATGGCCATGTTTGGAGATTCTCTAGTAATTAGACCAAGTTGGGCAATTCATACATGTCTTTATCTCAAAAAGGATATCTATTCTAATGGATATGTAGAACTACGAAAAAATAAAAGCATACAAAACATAATATCCCACTTTTAAGTGATTTAGCATTTATTTTGATACTTGGTAGTCAATTCTAAGACATTTTATCATGGAATCTTTGCTAAATACAGCAGAAAGCATAAGAGAATCTACCTGAAAATGAAGCATGTTGAAATTACTAGCTAGGCACATAGAAAATGGATCTATTTTTCTAAAACGCTGACATCATCTCTCATATCTGACTAAATTTATGGAATATGCATGTGAAGTTTCCCCACTATTTCTTAATACTTTCTGAATAAGAAAATTAGCTATTCGGCTTTTTTGCTCCATCTACCAACTCCCTAATCAGTAATAGTGATAAAGCCTTTCAGTTTAAGACAGTTTTTTAATGTATGTATTTGTTGTTGTTGTTTTTTTATTTCCCTGGGCCTGGGTGTAGCTTTTTAATTTTAAACCCATACACAACTTATCAGAAAATTACTCTTTCAAGTGCATTAAAATCTTAGTGAAGGTTGCAGTCTGATTTTAAACAGGCTAATTGATGAGAAATATATGATTCAGATTCTTGTCTATGAGCCTACCTGAATTCCTTAAAGGTGCCATTAGCTTTCAGCTGGGCATGTCCTAGACTCTCCTTTTTCTGGGTGGGTTTTTCATTTGCTTGTTTTCACTTTTAAGTTCTTGAAAATCCTATGAAAAAAAAATATTGAAAATGATTCCAAATGTAGAAAATTCTTCCTTGATACCTGATTGAGGGCACCTTTTGCACACATACAAGAAAGAAAGATAGATAGATAGATAGATAGATAGATAGATAGATAGATAGATAGATAGATAGATAGATAGATATTTCTGGTTTTAAAAGTGCTAGGAACCACAATACTTCTAGTATACAAAAGGACTTCAACTATGATAGAACAAAAACACATGCTTTCAATTTATCTGCTTCTATCAAATTTAGTGTCTTGAAAAAGTAGGAGATGAAGTCATCCCAATAATTTTCTATTTTTGATATGTGATCCTACTGACATCTGAAATGCTATCTTTATTTTTTTAAAAACTATATGGAATAGGATATTTAATACCAAATTTGAATGAACTTTGTCACATAGCAATTGATGGCAAATTCATTTGTATTTCAACAAATATATCTGAAAGAAATCTCAAAAAAAGTTGATGTGACTGACATTTTTTTCACATAGGAAGTTTGTAAAAGATAGAATGAAAGATCAACAGAAATAAATGAACTTAAGTTTTTGTTTGTTTGTTTTAAAGCTAAATGTGCTTTATTGAATTCTAATGAAAAGTAGCATCTGCTTTTGGAAAGGGTGTAATTAAGGCTGTCCTTTACTTGGGTGAGATGATGCACTATGGGCTTCAGCTCAGTAGACTTTCTGTGCAATTGTTGGGATGTGAGCAATTGATGGCGAATTTAACTATAGTTCATAGCTTTTCAAGCTCGTCATAGGATCTTCCATAATGTCATGTGTAAAAAAATGTCCCAGCTTCAGTCATTAGACACCTTTTCAGTTGGCCCGTGTCCTTTGTTCATACGTCCTTCATTATTTTTTTTAACATTCTTACTTTTTGACACTCCAATGTGTTCTGGGATCCTCTTATGTAATTTCTGCTCCAGTCCTGGAATCAGCCATTGTCTTAGTCAGTTTGGGCTTCTATAACAAATCTATCACAGACTGGGTGGCTTAAACAAACATTTATTTCTCATAGTTCTGGAGTCTGGGAAATCCAAAAGCAGGCATCTGTTGAAGATCAGCTTCCTGGTTTGTATCCTCCCATGGTGGAGAACAGAGAGAGATAAAGCAAGCTCTTGTGTCTCTTCTTATAAAATCACAATCTCGTTAGTGAGGGCTCCATCCTCATGACCTAATTACTTCCCAAAGTTTCTACCTCCAAATATCATCACATTGGAGATTAGACTTCAACATATTGATTTTGGGGGGACACAAACATTCAGTCCATAGTCATCATTTCTCCAAGGATTGCTGATTCCTTTTGTTGGAGAATTATGTTAGAAACCAAGATCTGGGTGCTAGGTATGCTCATTTCTACTGAGATGTCATTGCTGCCAGCCTTTCTCAGCTGACAAAAAGAAGGAACTAGGTGTGTGCATATCAAGTCATGTATACACACATCACTATCTATATTTCTATATGTAATCAGCTGCATCTATATTAAGCTAGCCATGAGTTCATGCTGATGTCTCCAATTCTGATCTATTAGCCATAGATCATCCTAGCCTTCTCCCCTTGCATATCTATAATCCTCCACTCCGAGAGTGAGAAATTTTACACCTACCACCCTCCAACCACTTATTTAATTTTTCAATTGTAGAGCATGTGTACAGCAGTATCAGAATTGTTACCCTGTGCTTCTGTGGGAAACACCCTCCTCAACAGGAATACAATGCTATGCACAGTTACTTTTGCCTTGAGTTTTACAGACTCCACTCATTCCCAAAGTTACTGAAGTGAGCACCTTTTCCCTACTGTTTTCAGTGTGGTTGTTTCATGTTTGTAATAGTTAGAGTGTTTTGTTACATTCTACATTTCCTCATGGGTTACACTGAGCTCCTAAATAATTATCAAAATTTATATATATTGAAATTGATTATCTGTATCAGTGGGTTTAGACAAATGTATAATGTCATGCATTCAAAATTATGATATCATGCAGAATAGTTTTACACCCCTAAAAACCTCCTGTGCTTTACCTAATCAGCACTCCCTCCATACCTCAAAAGTCTTCTTAATTAAATCTCTTCCTCAAGAAGGAGGGCAAAATATTACCCTCTGTATTGACATATATGGACTCTATTTGGGTTATTTTTATCTTCTAGACAAATCTTAAGAGTTATATTGATAGTCCAAACATTATGCATTCCATGCAAATCAAACTATCTGTATTTCTTAGAATATATCATCTTGCTATTTAATCCACACTAAATACTTCTCCCTCTGCTTAAAATGCACTGCCGGCCACAAAAGCCTAAATAATTTCTAAACCTTCTTCAAAAACCACATCATATGTTACCACTGTCAGAAAAGACCTCCTTGATCATATAAAACAAAATGGGTAAAATGTCTTATCTATCATTTTATTTCTGTCATGTTATTTATGCCTCTATCTGATTTTATTTTTGTTATTTTGACCCCCTCACTAGAACTTAATCACCCTAAAGAAAGATGGTACGTTATTGATGTAAATATCTCCCATGTCTGTCACAGTATCTGACACAAAGTATCTATGTATTCAGTAAATTAGTTCAATAGACAACAGAATGAATAAATGAATGAGGGAGTGAATGAGTGAAGCACAAATATTTCTTTCTGATTTCAAGTCCCCAAAGTTGACCTTTTTGAAAGTTGAAGCTAATCAAAGGCTAAAATAGTCAATCTCACGTTCCAAGGGGAGTTTAAAAGGACCAAGGATCTAACCACCTGTGGACCACCAGATCTAGTCATGGTAGACTTATGACCTAAACTTGACATAAACTGTGTTCCCTTTACAGATGCTGCACAGTTTCCTTTCTACATTGACTTACTAATTTTTTAAAAGTGCTAAATATCCCCATATGACTGCACAACCTGGTTTATAAATGCACAACTCTCAGATTGATTCCTTGGCCAAATGGAGAATTTGAGTAACATCACTGTGCTATTGCAACCCTCACCTTACAGAAATCCTTTGTGTTCTCACTTTCAAACTCTCAGTACTCTAATTTGGGACAAATATTAGGTACAAATATCATCGTATTAAGTACAAATATCACCACCAAAATTCCTTATTTCACAGGATTCAAAACTAATCAATAAAAGCAATTTAACTTCTTTCATTGTATCATGAGACTCCTTCTCCATGTCACCTAGAATCAGCATCTGTAAATATTCAATGTCAAGTTCAAGTGCTCAACAATTAGACTTTTTGTCTTTAATAAAGGATATCAAATGTAGCTCAGGAAAGAGACCAGCTTTCTTTGCTAGATCCTCCAAATAAAGAAACCAATCACGCCAAATTAAACCAGGTATTTCTATTGACTGAAGCTAACACCTGCATATCGAGCGGGCTGGGTGTTCTCATTCACCTTTCCTGTGCTAAGCTGAGCAATTAGCTAGAGAATAGAACTGTGCTTGGAAAATGCAATTGACTTAAATAAAATGAACTATTTAAGCTAATAATAAAAAAGGAGTGATTAATTTCAGGGTACATTCTTAAAAGATCAAGTTGCTTCATTGAGGGATAAATGAAAATGTTCCCCTATTACTTAGAACCATTAACCTTCTTAAATCAATCTAAACATTTGCAATGAACTTTTTTAACAGAATTTTTTTGTTTTTATTCTAAAATGGAATTGATTAGATGTAGAAATTTTTAAAAGAGTGATGAAAAGACCATTTGTGGTGTAACCTATTCAACTGTTTTTCTTAAGACTACCACACTAACTTTATCAACTCATAAGGCTAAGTTTGGGTACATTTCGTACCAAAAACTGAGCTTTCGGATACTGTCTAAACCAAATCCAGAATGCACTCTTTGAAGTTAATTCTAGTATCGCTGATTTACCACTAACCTTCAAGGGCTGCCAATATCTAATAAAATCAGTAAATATTTATTGGCTGATTATACAATAGTTCTAGGTAACAAGAGGAAATAAGAAATTCACATACATATTCATTCAGAAAAACATCAGTTAATAGCCATTGAGGGGTGAAAGCATTAACAGGCCCTGATCTAGGTATTAGTCATTTAGAAACAAAGGAGACAGTCTAGAGGGACCATATCATTGACTTCAAGGAGCTTACAATTAACTGGGATCCAGAACACAGAATTATCTATCATGAAATATTCTGACATTGACTTTTGAAATAATTATACATTCCCAAGAGCAAACTACATGGCAAAGCAATTATTTATTTACTTTTTAAATTTTGATATGCTTTTTACCCCGTCCATGCCCAGCTTTAAAAAAAAAGAAAATTATTTCTAAGCCATGCTTTCTGAATCTGATTTGTTTAAGTCCAACAGGTATAGCAAAGGAAGGCAATTCTATGAGGTTAGCCTTCAAAATTGTCTTCCTTGAATGAGAAAAGAATTTTAAAAAATTAATGTGAGACATAAAATATTAACAAAGGCTCAGATTTTGAAAAAATTAGGAGGAAAAAAGATGTCTGCCTAGGGTTTGAAGGGAGCAGCTATAATAATTTTATTGGGAAATGGTAAAGTCTTCATCATTATTGAATTGTCTGTCTCCCTGATCCTCTGGAAATAAAGAATTAAATTATAGTTTTACTTCCTTTAGCTGATTAAGGCTAAACATTTAGACTGTGATTGCTTCCGTGTGAAGAACTATAAAATGACTGTGTTAAATACCTTTATTAAAAAGGGGAAACAGGCTTACTGTTTCAATGAACTTTTTTCCCTCTAAGAGTCAAATGAATATTCATTCTCATTTTATGCATATGTTAAATGCATGATTTTTACAATTGCTGTAACACATATACTCCTTAACTTTTACAATAACATTTCTCTTTTCTTTGGAATAAATGAAGCCTCAAAACCAGTGAACCGTTTCCTGCCATGTGTTGTTCCTGCAGTTTCATTTACTCCAAATCCACTGCCAGTTTGAAAGCTCCTGTGCATAAAGCACTGCCAAGCTTGAAAGTATGATAAAC